CAGGCTGATTAGTCATCGAGTAAAATGAACAAGAACAAAACAAGAAACACCTACTAGAAGCACATATAGAGAAAAACTAACCCTAAGGAAACAAGGTTAACTCACTGCCTTTAATTGACTCCACCAAAATATACATATACTTATACTAAAAAAAAAAAACTTTAGCAAAGCCGGCTTCAAAGATTCAAAAGATTGAGAAAAAAAATAAATAAATCACAAGTGGACATTCCATCAGCTTGAAGTAACTAATCAATTTATCGACTCATGAAACAAGATAATCAAGGCAATACTTCCATTTTTCACTAGACAAAACATCTTAGCGACATACGAAAATCCAACAGTGGAACACGATACTTTATTGAAAGTAACAAGAGTAGAAAACAGCCTACATATATGTATCAGCTTATGAAGACCGAAATCATTCATGGAAGATGATTCTGGAATTCACGACTAAGTCACAGCTTCACAACTAATGAGATGAGATAACGGTGAAATGAGGGGATCCCAACAAAGAGAAATAGATTCAAAACCGAGAGGAAACATCAAACCTTCAAAGACAACAGAAACTAACAATGGCATGGACTAAACAAACAAGATTTACCACCGATTTGCAATCAGCTACAAGTCCAAATGATCCCAAATAATAGCATATAGACAACTTCACATAATCAAAAATCCAACAACGACACATTAAAGTAAAATGCTCGAATTGAAAGACGGGTATTACCGTTCACGGGGCAGCGAAACAGGGGTGAGACGAGCAAGAATGGGCAACAACTTTCGCACCGAACTCGATTTCGAGGAACTCGAATGAACAAAATAAAACCCGCAAGAGTCAAGACTGATCCGAATGAACTTGAAGATTTTTTTAGTTTATCTAGATTTCCTTTCTCTCTACACTTGGCTCACTGACCTTTTCTCCCACTCCAAAATCATTCCCCCGTTACAATGGATAAGAAGAGATATATATAGGGAAAGCTAGAGTTCGAAAAAGGGTGAAAGGGTAGAATCGGAATTCGAATACCTTCCTCAATTTGAAAATCTCCTCTCCAAGGATGGGAAAAAGCTGTTCTTGTACACAATTTCAACTAAGATCCCTCAAAATATGGATGAAAAGACTGGGATGGGCGGCAGTTTGCAGGCGGGTCAGGTTTGGAGTCGTTGTTGACGCGATTTCCAGAATTCTCGCTGAGTTTCTTGAAGAGGACGAGAATAGGTATGGGCAGTGGGGTCACGTTGTAGAGGAGAAGAAGAAGAAGGGGGTCGGGTCGGTTCTGGGTTTGCTGTTGTTTGTATTGTTATGTGGGAATTGTCGTTCTGGGTTTTCTTTTGCACTGAGGAAGAAGAAAATGGGCAAAAGGGGTCATATGGGTTTGTTTGGTATTGTTGTTGTTGTCATTTGTGGGCTGGGAATTGTTTAAAGGGACTAGGAAAATGATATGGGCCATTTGAAAATGGCCCAAATAGGAAAAAGGGTTAAAATTTTATTTTATTTTATTTTTTTAGATATTGGATTTAATTTAGATGAATTAACATTAATTAATTATCGAGGTTCTTAATCTTAACAAAATAAAAATAATTAAATCGGTCATAAAATAATTAGTTTAATTACAAACTAATGAACTCGAAATTAAATTAACAAAATATCTAACTAAAATGTAAAATCTTTTTGTGATGATTTTCAAATATTTATAAAATACGTGATTGTAAAAATATACATATTTATTATTAAATTTATAAAATTAATCTAAAAATGACTTGAAAGCATTTTGAATTTCATAAAATTCATTAACTCACAATTACGACCCTTACTACTAATAAAATATAAAAAATGTAAAATCTTTTCGAGATGATTTTGAATACTCGTAAAATGCATTAATTATATACATAACTAAATAAAACATATATATTATAAAAGAGTGACAAAATTATTTAAAATAATTTGCAAATTATGTTTATTTTATTTTATTTTATTTTTTTTGGAAATTTTGTAAAATAATTATTTTAAATTGTTTGAAATTGAAGAACCTTGATAATTAATTTATATTGTGGAGGGTTAAAATTGGGTGTCAACAGCTGTCCCTCATTTTACTTGGATTGATGAAAGAAATCTGAGGAAAATGAAATTGACGAATCCAATTTTGACCGACCACATCTTCATTTTTTGGAAAAAGGATTTGGGTACGGATTTTAGGAATCATGACCGAACCCCAGGAGTGGGTTTCCTACATATCTCAGGCTATATGAGAATTCAGGTCACTTGTAGTTCGAGACGCTTGATTTGACGCACGATTTGCAAGAATTCAAAGTCATCCCGATACCGAATTATGAAGGGACTAGAGCGCTTTGAGAATGAGATTCAAGTGCGAATGTTGGAATACGGCCGAGTTTCAACATTGATTCTGCCTACATATCCCTCAACTTGGGGAATCAGGTTACTTGTAGTTCAACTCGATTGGTTGAAAAGAAAATCTATTATGTAAGATAACCTTTGGTTCTGGAGGAGTGACAAAATAAGTCGAGTATGGAAAGGAGGCTTGCAACCTCTTAGCCATGAATGCGGTGCACTTCACACCCATAGGTAAGAACTTACACGGACATAATTTCCACAATCTTGGAGCATTGCCACTCAGATTAGAAAGTTGCTTCCGGTAGAGACCAAATTTTCCGGATGCGAAACTGAAGCCAACAAACTTAAAGAAAAACCCACATACTTTTCGAGAAGGATGTGGTTTGATTGTGGTGGAAGTCGCTCGTCTGCTCGCGCCCTAAGAGTTTGGCACTCCTCTTTGGACTATGTCCCAGTTCGCTGCTAAGCAAAAGTTTCACGTTGTGCTGCATCCTTTTTTGATGTCGTCCGCACCATGTTGACACTTAGTTGCTCTCCTTGAATTTTTAATGTCAATTTCATCGGGTTTGACGTAAAGCAAATAAAGCTTGTATCTTATATTTGTAATATGATTCTTCAATGCACTCTTCTTTTGATGCGAAGTAATAAGAAATAGACCGATGTAACGTTGATAGTTCTCTTGATACCGTTCTTGTAAATGAAAATAATAATGATGATTTTTCATTAGTAAGATGACGGTAATCCATTGGTAGGATAGTGCTGCTACATGACATTATGATGATGATGTTTCACTGTCAGGATGATGATGTTGATAAAGGAGATCCATCAGTAGGATAATGTTGATCCATCGGTAGGATAATGATAATGAAGATCCTTCTGTAGGTTGATGATGCCCCTCAGAGTGATGGTATTATCTCGTTTGATAATACTCTATGAATGACTCTTCGCGATGCATGAATTTCTTTCCGCAATGCATGCATCTTTTCTCCGCGATGCATGAATTTTTTGCGATGCATGAATTTTCTCAATGCATGAGTATCTTTTCGCGATGCATGGGTTCTCAATGCATGAATATCTTTTCGTAATGCGTGAATTTTTCGCAATGCATGAATTTTTCTCAATGCATGAATTTTCGCGATACATGAATATTTCTCAATACATGAATTTTTCTCAATGCATGAATTTTCTCAATGCATGAATTTTCTCAATGCATGAATTTTCGCGATGCATGAATTTTTTGCGATGCATGAATTTTCTCAATGCATGAATTTTCTCGATGCATGAATTTTTTCGCGATGCATGAATGTTCTCAATGCATGAATTTCCTCAATGCATGAAAACAATGATGATGCTTCCCGATACGGAACGAAGATGATACTTCACCGAACAATTTTGGTGATCTTCTAGGTATCTCGTAGTGGTGGCATTGTCTTTTTGACAATAAAATAATCCTCGGAGTATTGGTATCATCTCTTTTGACAATACGATATATATAACCTTCAAGGTAAGAGTATTATCATATCTGATAATATAATGCAGATAAATGTCTTCCAAGTATCGTAGTAGCTGAAAAATAGCAATATTGCTCTCTTTTTCGTTTGTTCCGTCTCTGACCGTAGTAGCATGTTCGTTATAGATTTCGCCTTACTGGAAATTGAATAATAATATTTTTTGTTCTCAATTCTTCGGTATAAGAAACGTAAAATATTTCTTGCATCCACAGGAAAATCGTTAGTTTTGGGGAGATCCTCGCCTTCTAACTTCTCCATATTCATTGAATGGAAGAATGTGCTGATTTTGAGGTAAACCTATAGCCCTGCATCCACAGAAAAATTGTTAGTTTAAAATGAGCTGATCTGTGTCGATCTTTTTGGTTGTCTGATCCTTTTCTGGCTATCTCCAATTGATTTCTCCGATCTCCCGCTTCTTGGTAGATAAGACAAGACATTTGTTATACAAAATAATTAAAACACGAAAGAAAAGTTTTAAGGAAAACAGATTTTCAAAAAGTAATGTTTGGAAAAGGTCACTGCCAAGTGTCATGTCACGTCAAGCTTAGTGAACGTCTTTGAAGTTGATGTCTCGAGGTCTATCTGATTAGTTGCTAGGAAGTATTCAAAGCCGTTTCAAACTTTCGACGAGCCTTACTGAAATTTTGAGGTCATCCTCAAAATTTCTGTCCCAGTAGCAAGTCTGAAAGTAACTTCAGTCTTGACTTTATCGGAGAGATCTTCTTCTTGAGAATTTTTGAGTTCCTCTCAAAAATTCTGTCCCAGTTTCTATTATACAACAAAAATAGAAGTCTTATGGGAGATATGACCGAGCCCTTGTGGCGCCTACGTATCCCGTTGAGGCAGAAATCAGGTCAAACGTAGTTCCCTTCTCGAGGATTAACAAAATAAGAAAAATGACAAAAAAAACCGACCGAGGTCGACATAGACCGCCTACGTATCTCATTCTTGAGAATTCAGGTCGAACGTAGTTCAAATACAAAGAAAGTATTAAAAAGGATAAAGGGGTGACCGAGGCCGACATAGGCCGCCTACGTATCTCATTCTTGAGAATTCAGGTCAGACGTAGTTCATTACAAGAGGGATAAAATTTTAAATAAAGCGCTTACAAGGAAATGACGGAAATACAAACTAAGACTTCACACATAATATCTCTTGACAACATCTGAGTTGATTGGCTTTGGCCATTCCGTTCCATCCATCTCCGACAGGATCAAAGCACCTCCAGGTAACACTTTACGAACCATGTAGGGTCCTTGCCAATTTGGAGCAAATTTCCCTTTATATTCATCTTGGTGAGGAAAGATACGTTTGAGAACCAACTGACCAACCTCAAACGTTCTGGATCTTACCTTTTTATGAAAAGCACGAATCATTCTCTGTCGGTAAAGTTGACCGTGACAAACAGCAACCATTCTTTTCTCATCAATCAAGGTCAACTGGTCCATCCGCTTGCGAACCCAATCAGCATCATCCAACTCAGCCTCCTGGATGATTCTTAATGAAGGTATTTCAACTTCTGCAGGTATAACTGCTTCCGTTCCATATACTAACAAGTATGGAGTGGCCCCAATCGATGTTCTGACAGTCGTTCTATAGCCCAACAAATCATATGGTAGCATCTCATGCCAACCTCTGCGATTATCAATCATTTTTCTCAGAATCTTCTTTATATTCTTGTTGGCGGCTTCTACAGCTCCATTCATTTGGGGGCGATAGGCCGTTGAGTTCCGATGAGTAATCTTGAATTGTCCACATATCTCTCTCATCAAGTGACTATTGAGATTTGCTCCATTGTCAGTAATGATGGATTCTGGCACGCCAAACCTGCATATCAGATTGTTGCGAACAAAATCAGCTACGACTTTCTTGGTTACCGACTTATACGAAGCTGCTTCCACCCATTTGGTGAAGTAGTCAATAGCAACCAAAATAAATCTGTGTCCGTTGGAGGCAGCTGGCTCTATTGGACCAATGACATCCATGCCCCAAGCTACAAACGGCCAAGGTGAACTCATAGCATTGAGTTCGTGAGGTGGAACTCGAATCAAATCACCATGTACTTGACATTTATGACATTTTTGTACGAATTTGCAACAATCGTGCTCCATAGTCATCCAAAAATAACCGGCTCGAAGGATCTTTCTTGCTAAAGTGAGTCCATTCATGTGAGTGCCACAAACTCCCGCATGTATCTGTTCCAGAAGCTTCGCAGCTTCACTAGCATCAACACATCTGAGAAGACCTAAATCTGGAGTCCTCCTATAAAGGATTTCCCCACTTGCAAAGAAATTGAGGGCCATACGGCGTATCGACTTTTTCTGGTTGAACGTTGCATTCTCAGGATAGGCCCCGGTCTCCAAATACTTCTTGATGTCAAAATACCAAGGCAAACCATCTGGTTCTGCTTCGACATGTGAACAATAAACAGGCTGCTCTTTTACCTCGATATTCAAAGGATCAATATAACTTGTATCTGGATGTTTAATCATTGAGGCAATGGTGGCAAGTGCATCGGCCAACTCATTCTGTGTCCTGGGAGTATGTCTGAACTCAATCTTACGGAACCTTTTGCACAACTTCTGTATATACTGCACGTATGGTGTGATTTTTGGTTTTTTCACGGCCCATTCTCCTTGAACTTGGCGAATTAGCAGATCCGAATCTCCAATAACCAATAACTCATGAATGTTCATATCAATCGCTATCTTCAGACCGAGGATGCAGGCTTCATACTCAGCCATGTTATTCGTGCAATTAAATCGGAGTTTAGCCGCCATAGGATAGTGCTGACCGGTTTCTGATACTAAGACCGCTCCGATACCTTTACCTTGATGATTCGCCGCTCCATCAAAGAATACTCTCCAACCCGGGTACGCTTCAGAAATATCTTCACCCACGAATGTAACTTCTTCATCGGGAAAATAAGTCTTGAGTGGTTCATACTCTTCATCAACTGGATTCTCCGCAAGATGATCAGCTAAGGCTTGTGTTTTTATAGCCTTCTGAGTCACATATACAATGTCAAATTCACTCAAAAGCATTTGCCATTTAGCCAATTTCCCAGTCGGCATTGCTTTCTGAAAAATATACTTTAAAGGATCCATCCTAGAAATAAGGTATGTGGTATAAGAAGACAGATAATGTCTCAACTTCTGAGCAATCCAAGTCAAAGCACAACACGTTCTCTCCAAAAGGGTGTAACGAGCCTCATACGGAGTGAATTTCTTGCTCAAGTAATAAATGGCTCGTTCTTTCTTCCCACTTTCATCATGTTGACCAAGCACGCATCCGAATGCATTATCTGAGACAGACAAATATAGCAACAGTGGACTCCCTTCTCGTGGAGGAACCAACACCGGTGGATTGGATAAATAGTTCTTGATAGCATCGAAAGCCGTCTGACACTCTCCGGTCCATTTGGTCAAAGCATCTTTTTTCAATAATTTAAAGATTGGCTCACACACCACGGTAGATTGAGCTATAAATCGACTTATGTAGTTTAGCCTTCCCAGAAAACTCATTACCTCCTTCTTGGTCTTCGGAGGAGGCAATTCCTGAATTGCTTTAATCTTAGAAGGATCAAGCTCAATGCCCCTCCTACTGACTATAAATCCCAACAACTTACCGGCCGGCACTCCAAAAGCACATTTGGCAGGATTTAACTTCAAATTGTATCGACGCAGACGATCAAAGAACTTTCTCAAGTGAGCCAAGTGAGCCGAACTCTCGCGGGATTTGATTATGACGTCATCCACATACACCTCGATCTCTTTATGAATCATATCATGGAAGATAGTTGTCATAGCCCTCATATAAGTAGCACCCGCGTTCTTGAGACCGAAAGGCATCACCCGATAATGATATACGCCCCAGGGTGTGATGAAAGCTGTTTTTTCTGCATCTTCTTCGTCCATCAGGATTTGATGATAGCCCGCATAACAATCCACAAATGACTGCATCTCATGCTTAGCACAGTTATCGATAAGAATGTGAATATTCGGCAATGGAAAATTATCTTTTGGGCTAGCTTTGTTGAGATCTCTGTAGTCAACACAAATCCTGATCTTTCCGTCTTTCTTCGCAACCGGAACAACATTGGCTAACCAAGTTGGATATTGTGTCACTTCCACTACCTGAGACTCAATCTGTTTGGTAATCTCCTCTTTGATCTTTAAACTCAACTCCGGCTTGAACTTTCGAGTCTTTTGTTTCACTGGACTGAAGTATGGATTAATTGGCAACTTGTGAGACACTATATTCGTACTCAGCCCTGGCATATCTTTGTAAGACCAGGCAAATACATCAATGTATTCTTTGAGCAAACGAACTAGGTCCTTTCCTTGATCTTCAGTCAGGTGGACACTGATTCTGACTTCCTTGACGCATTCTTCATCCCCAAGATTCACAGTCTCAGTTTCTTCAAGATTTGGCTTGTGCTGATTCTCGAATTGTCGAAATTCTTCAGCTATATGTTCTGGTACCTCATTTTCTACTTTGTGTTCTTCGCATTCATCATCACCTACTTCATTTCGTCCATTCGGCTCTTGACATGACATGACATTGGCAGGTTTTAAATTAATATTACTGAAATCATAAACAAACAGAATTAGGAAAAAATATAAACAGATAAGTAAATAAATTTTGACAAAAGAGGTTTTCATTTAAATTGAAGGACAAACCCAATTTTGGCCATGGTAGAGGGCCATTTTGTCTTTTAAAACATCACAAAAAAAAATGTAAAAACATTCAACAAATAAGACTGCATAAAGGGTGGGTCTCGGGCCTATTCCGGACTACCACCGATTTAAAGAAACAAACAAAAGCACATGTCCTTTCTACCCAGAAGAGCGGGAAATCAGGATTGGCGTGGAGGTCCAATTTTTCAATTGCTCCGCAGGTTCTGCATCACGGATGCCTGATGTCTCAGCCTTGTCTTCAACGACCGCATCAATCTCCTTGAAAAGGCCACAGATTCCTTCCCCTTGACCATCATTATTGACATATTCTCGCACCGGGAATGACTGGTACAGATGAGGGATTGGTCTGGACAATGCTTGATCAACGCCCTTAGTCTTCATCTCTACTTCTTCATCTGTGGGGACATACCCCAAACCAAATTTCACTCCTTTGGCGGGAATTTTGATGGGCTCAACAATTCCTTGGAAATGCTTCCCCAATCCTAAACCTGGTTCGAAACCACTTTGGAGCATCACAGTAGCAATCATCTTGTACACAGAAGGCATAGGGGCTGTGAAGCCAAATCATCATCGGTGGCATTTACCAGCTCCACCGTGTAAAAATCACAACCTCGAGAGACATTATCAACGATCGGCGCATATCCGTTGGAATGACTCCCTTCACCATAAATGACCAATTCCTGGTCCTTCCAAACAAACTTTATTAGTTGGTGAAGGGTAGACGGCACAGCTCCAGCCATGTGGATAAATGGTCTTCCCAAAAGCAAGTTGTAACTGGTGTTGATATCCAACACCTGAAACTCTACTTTAAATTCCGCAGGACCTATCTGAACTTCCAAGTTTACCGCACCCAATGTGTCTCTCTGCACTCCATCAAAAGCCCTCACATTGACTTGGTTCTGCTGAAGCTTTCCCAAGTCAAATTTCAGCTGCCTCAGAGTCGATAGTGGGCAAATATTGAGACCGGATCCGTCATCAATCAAGACGCGATTTACTATCTTGTCTCGACACATTACGGTGACATGCAGAGCTTTGTTGTGCATCCTGCCTTCAAAGGGTAGCTCTTCGTCACAAAAACTGATTCGATGTCCTCGTATAACTTGGTTTATCATAGCCGCCAAATTATCACTATTAGTACCCACGGGTACGTAAGTGTCATCCAAAGCTTTTATCAAAGCCTGCCTATGCATTTGCGAACTCATCAACAAAGCCCATACGGAAATCTGAGCCGGCGTCTTCTCCAAATGCTTCACAATTGAGTAATCTTTCGGCTGCATTTTTCTCCAGAACTCCTCGGCTTCAGCCTCACTGATCGGCCTTTTAAGCTGCTCTTTCTTCTGCACCCCCTGGGATAGCTCTTCTGGTATGTAGCACCTGCCGGATCTAGTCATACCCTGGGTAACAGCCGTTTCGATCACGAACTTCGGTCGGGCAAGAGTTTCTCGTAGCACCAAGGCAGCAACCTTCTTAGGTGTCAAAATCACAAACTCTTTCTTCTCTTTGATACTTAACGAAGCCACAGCCCTTTCCAGGTTATCAGGAGCGATCGGAATTATTGACTTTGCTACGAATCCATCATCATCTGTCTCTATCATATTGATAGTGACGCCTCCGTGATTTGGCAAAGGATTACTATTGACGTTGGGCTCGACTGTCTGGAGAGAGACCACTTTCTGGTCGATCAGGTCTTGGATTTTGTGCTTCAAGTTGATACAGTCCTCGGTATCATGTCCAACATTGTTGGAGTGATACGCACACCTCTGATCAGGTCTGTAAAACTTTGAGCTGGTGTCAACCGGTTTGGGCCCCACTGGATGAATATAGCCTGCCGCGTTTAATCGCTCGAACAACTTCGTGCGGCTTTCAACAAGCGGAGTGAAAACTCTGGCAGGCTTCTTCTCAAATCTAGGACGAGGGGGATCGTAGTTGCCTTGTTGAGGAGGAGGCATTTGACGATAATTTGGAGCATTTGGGCGAGGGGATTGATATCTAGGATATGCATTGGTTTGATAATTTGGTTGTGGAGCTTGGTAGTACGGGGGGGTATTTTGGTAAAGTGGAGCTGGGGGAGGAGTTTGGTAATTGGCTTGAATGTTGGCACAGTTGGGGGTGACATTTCGATAGTGATAAGATGGAGTCTGGTAAACTGGAGGGGGAGTTTGGTAGATAGGAGGGGGAGTAATTTGATAATTAGGAAGAGGGGTATAAACCGGGTATGAACTTTGTGAAGGTCTAGAACGACCTTGGTATGATAAGGACTTCCTGGGGGTTTTCTTCCCTTCATA